CAAATATATTAGTGTGTGTGAATGACAGGCATCAACTTAAAACACTTTGTAGAATGGTGCTTTATGAAATTCTGTCCATTTCTTTGCATTAAATGACCGGCAGTTCTGCCACATTTAAAATGGCGGACACTTTGACATACCGCTGCAGCGAGCCAGCCCGCTCAAAGAGGCATCTATTGTTTATATGCTTCCCCCACCATTCAATCCACCTCACCACCAGGTGGTGATTAGTCAACAGCTCAGCTTGTCTCTTCACCCATGGGTCCAAATTGTACAGCCACAGTTTAGATGGTACTACTAAAAAGTCTATCCTCAGTCTGCAGCCTAGGGTGTCCTGGTGCTGCGTGCACTATGGACACACTTTTGTTTAATTATGGTGTTCATTATGCATAAACTGTGAATAGCAAAGAAGTCCAATAAAATCCTGATGCATTCTCAATAATCCAAGTCCAATAACAGATCACCACTCGGGTTGAAATCAGAAAGGCTGTTTTTTACCAATCATGCCCCTCCTAGTTATATTGTTGCAACCCAACTGGGCATTGAATTCCCCCAGAAGAATGATAATCCCCTACTGGAGAACCTTCCAAGACCCTTGCTAAACAATTTAAGAAGGCTCTATCCTCTGATTTGTTGTTCAGCACATTGGCACAAACAACAATTAGAGTGTCCTGATGCAACAATTAGAGTGTGTCCCTTCACCTGAAAATGCTGTAAAGATAGTCTCTCATCTACTCATGGGGAAAAACTCCAATGCACACACACCAAGTTGGGTGCAAGATGCCATGGGCAGTGGCCGAAGGTGGGGGCAGTGGCCGAAGGTGGGAGCCTTGGCGCTCTGACCCTGGCTTACCAAAGCTAGCTCTTGGGACATGGAATGTGACCTCTCTGGCAGGGAAGGAGCCTGAGCTTGTGCGTGAGGTTGAGAGCCCACAGCATGAGCTCTGGAACCATTCTCCTTGAGAGGAGCTGAACTTTATTCCACTCTGGAGTTACCCATGGTGAGAGTCACTGAGCTAGTGTGGGTCTACTTTTAACTCCCCGACTTGGTGCCTGTGCGCTGAAGTTTTCCCAGGTGAATGAGAGGATGGCTTCCCTGCGCCTTTGGGTTTGGGGGACGGGCTCTGACTGTTGTTTGTGCCTACACATCAAACGGCATTTCGGATTATCAGGCCTTGGAGTCCTTGGCGGGGGTGCTGGAAGGCACTCTGGCTGAGGACTCTGTTATTCTGCTGGTAGGCTTCAATGTCCACGTAGGTAATGGCAGTGTGATCTGGAGGGGCATGATTGGGAGGAACAGCCTCTCTGATCTGAACTCGAGCTGTGTTTTGTTGTTGGACTTCTGTGCTAGTCATAGTTTGTCCATCACGAACACCATGTTTGAACATAAGGGTGTCCATGAGTGCACTTGGCACCAGGACGTCCTAGGTCGTAGATCAATAATTGACTTTGTAGTTGTGACATCTGATTTGCGGCCGTTTATTTTGGACACTTGGGTGAAGAGAGGAGCTGAGCTGTCAACTGATCACCACCTGGTTGTGATTTGGATCAGATGGCAGGGGAAGATGCCAGACAGACCCGGCAGACCCAAGCGTGTACTAGTGAGGGTTTTCTGGGAACATCTGGTTGAAGAACCCATCAGAAAGATCTTCAAGTCACACCTCCAGGAGAGCTTTAACCACATCTCAGCTGAGGCGGGGGGACATTTAGTCCGAGTGGGCCATGTCCTGCACCTCAATTGTTGATGTAGCTGCCTTGAGCTGTGAACGCAAGGTTGTCGATGCTTCTCATGGTGGACATCCTCGAACGTGGTGGTGGACACCTTGTGTTAAGAAGGCTATCAAGCTGAAGGAGTCCTATCAGGCCTTGTTGGCTGGTGGGACTCTAAAGGCAGCTGAGGAGTACCGGAGGGCCAAGCAGTCTGCAGCCTTAGCTGTTGCTGAGACAAAAGCTTGGATGTGGGAGGTGTTTGCCGAAATCTTGGATAAAGACTCTCGGTCATCTCCGAGGAGATTCTGGTAAACTATCAGGTGGTTGAGGGGAAAAGGGGGACTGGAGGCTGTGCTCCAATTATAGGGGCATAACTCTCCTTCACCTCCCTGCAAAGGTCTATTCAAGAGTACTGGAGAAGTGAGTCCAATCGTTGGTTGAACATCAGATCCAGGAGGAACAATGCAGGTTCCGTCCTGGTCGTGGAACGCTGGACCAATTCTTTACCCTCACTAGGGTCCTCAAGGGGTCATGGGAGTTTGCCCATCCAGTCTACATATGTTTTGTGGACTTAGAGAAGCTTTTCGACCGTGTTCCTCGAGGTACACAGTGGGGGGTGCTCCATGAGTATGGGATTGGAGACCTGTTGTTATTGGCTGTTCAGTCCCTATACAAACGGTGCAAGAGTTTGGTTCGTATTGCTGGTAGTAAGTGTAAATGGTAAATGGACTATACTTATATAGCGCCTTTCTATCTTATTTCAAGATACTCAAAGCGCTTTACACTACAATCTGTGTCCTCATTTACCCATTCATCCAGCACTCTACTAGATCTCTACAAAGCTAATTGAACAATTCATTCTAAAGAGACTAATCAGAGCTTTATCACATTCATACATTGATGGGACACACATCAGAGGCTACGAGGGGTTCAGTGTCTTGCCCAGGGACACTTCAACAGTGTAGATGAACAGATGCTCAGATATATTCATCATTTAACACGGATTCCTCATTTTTCTGGACTGAATAAAACGTGCATTGAATTTAAGGAAATGCAAACGTGAGACGTCATTTATATTTGACCCATCAAAATGAATGCGGTCATTTATTTACAGAATCAAAATTTAACATCAAACATTTACATTAATTTGGCAAATTATGAAAATAACAACATAAGCAATCAATCAGGAAAAATCATACGGCCATGATTTTTCCGTTGCTTCACCACAGACATTTATGAAAACTGTACAATTATGATCTTTTACCCACCTGAATGTGGGTGAGCATTTTACACAGACATTTCTAAAATATCTGGAAGAATTTCTACTTGATAGAAAAGTTTAAAGATGGAAAGAAGTTTAGAGGGAGTAAGATGGTGTGTGAGGGGAGAAATGTGTTCACCAGAATCGACACTCTCCGGCTTTCTTCAGCTTTTCCTTACAGTACACTTAGGTGATGAAATCGGCTCCTTTACCTGGAGATGTCTCAGGTGAGATTCCGTTTAACGCACCCTTTCAGCGTCTCAGTAGGATGCTGTTACTCGTCCGAAGTAATGGCGAGGCTCTGTTCGACACATATTCACCTCAGTGGAAAATGTTATAATCCCATGGAACTCGGAAGAGCTCTGTTGTCAGGATCATCCCGTCTCTCACAGAACTGGTTGGACTGTGTATCCAGCAGAACTCCAACAGCACTCCATCAGAACTTCAACAGAACCAAGACCGAGTAGACCAGGAAGTACTGACATTTTAAAGAGCTCTTTCCCGGTTCACTTTTGGGATTTGTTCATTGGTCAGAAACGACCAGACGGGGTGTGTTTTGTGACGTAAGAGGTTAGAGACAGCGAGAATTGTTATGAAACAGATCAGAAATGTTCTCACAGTCAGAGAGAGTTTTGTTTTGGCGCGTTTCAGAAACAGGTGCTAAAACTTCTCTATTTACGTCTGAGAGGATTCTAAAAACATGACAGTTCGTTCAACAACTTGTTTTTCGTTTGACTCCAACCTTGGAAACGCACACTTGCTCACTCAAAGGCAGAAATCAGAAAAGGCATAATTACTCTGTAACAGCTTTGACATGAGAATAAAAATCATTACACAGTTAATAAAATTGATTAGTGCACTGCAACATCTAAAATGGTTTGAACTAAGACACTTTGATTATCAACATTTGTAAAATAGTAATGATAATAAAAGAGAGTGTTCTTTTCACTTGAATCTTCAAGAAAGAAAGTCTCAGGATGGGTGAACCTGTATTTCTGAGTTCAAATGAATGAAATGACAGTTCCTGTCCCACAAGGTTCTAAAGGTCAAGAGTTTTGACCTAAGACTTAGTTTTTGACATGGGCCTAGTCCACTACAACAGGTAACTGCTGGTGGATTCGAACCTCCAACCCTCGCACTGGAGGACGACTGCTCTAACCACTCAGCCACAGCCGCCCCTGGGCCTTGATGTCTGGGCCTCCTAGGTCAAGCTGCTTCCCCCGCAACCTGACTTTGGAACAAGCAGAAGATAATGGATGGATGGATGGATGGATGGATGGATGGATGGATGGATGGATG